GCTTCAGTCTCACTACCTGCTACACTGTAGTTTTTCTAGGAAGATTTCTGACAATTTTGACTATGTCCTTATAGCATCCAAGGGAACTTCCAATCATGACTTTGTGCAGTTGCCCTGCTTCATTCACAGAATTTTACTATGGGGCCAGGAGAAAAATCCCCTTAGGTACAATGGCTTTTGATGGGAGAAGGATAAGCTTGTTATGTAGAGGTATCTAAGACCCCATGAAGACATGCTTCAGGAAGAGGAAGAGAAATCTGATGCTTGAAAGTGGTTTCCATTGCAAAGGAGAGGGTGGGGAAATTCATTGTACATGGAAAGATAGCGGTTTTCCTCTTGAAAAATTAGCCATATTTGCATGAAACAAGAAACCTGGTATATTGGTCAACAAGCAGCATTCACGGATGCTTAGAGCTCTCACTGGCTCCTTTGATGAGATGTAGCTAATAAACCGGATGGCTCTACCCACATTTGTTTACTATGTCATGCAAACTGGAACTCTGAATTTCTGCTTCATACGTCACATCCCCAAAATAAAAGCCACACAAAATAAGAGAGGCTTTCCAAATGGTTAGCCACACCACCTAGCAGAAGCGTTTTCAGCCCTCTGGCACCAGAACTTGAAGGATGCTAGCTTTACCACTCTGGGGATGCTAACAACAGTTAAGCCTTAAAACAAATAATAGTACCATCTACATTTCTCCTTCAGTTTCCTACCTGAGAGGTCATGGATAGTCTGGGACAAGTGGAGAGATGTCACTCTGAGTTTAGGCAGAACACAAATGGAAAATTAACCCAGTTACAGTCCATAGAAGGTAAGTGGGGGCAGTGTACAAATGAAGAGGACTCAAAGGGGAAGCCAAATCCAAAAGTTTGCAATTATACTTAATACGATTTCACTGATGCACCATTTCTTGCCCCTCCATTTTTAGATGCATTGATCACTAGGAGGCAGTACATGGCTGGTTTCATCCTTATTGGGAATCCTCAGGTATGCATTTGCAGCTCTTATTCTATGGGGATCAAACCTACTAACTGGAATTGAATTCATGGACCATATAACCATATACAGTCCATTACTACAGCTTTAGAACTATCCAAATCCTGGTGCTCAACGGTATTCAGGAAGAAATGTAGAGGTAGTCCTCGGCTTACAATGGGAACAGAGACCGGAATTTCCATCACTAAGCGATGCAGTTGTAAAGCGGGACTGCATTGCTTAGCGATGGCAATCCATGCAGTCCTGGTTGCTGTCGTTAACCAAATCCCATGGTTATTAGGCGAGGCAACTTCCTGCCAGCTTCCCACAATCACCATTCATTCAGCACCTTCATAATTTCAGTCAACTGAACAAATCGTCATAAGTTGAGGACTACCTGTATAGAATCAATCAAGGTGGTGTATACAGTCTACCTTCTCTGAAGGCTTCAGGGGTGGCAAGGGGAAGTCTCTACAACCTTCCCCTGTACATGGGGTATGGCATAATGTAACAACTATCTCGATCTGAGAGCTTAATGGAAGGTGGACTGTATATACCATTCTGATAGATTCCATCTCACAGGTATCTCATTTGTGCGGGTCCAGGTAAGAATAGGTTGTGCAAGACAAACTCTGGTTTTCCACATCAGCCCAAGCAAGGAACTCATGTATTCAAAGTATACACTGTAAAAAAAAAAAAATCCATGTGCTGAAATCTTTCTTGTGATAATAAAACATGTAGATCAGATGCTGCTAAAAAGAAGGGCAGGGAAGAAACAAGACTGCCCAGAAACCAGAAGCTTTATTTTCAGTAATATTTTGCCATGTTCTTCAAGACTGGAAAGAAAAATTCACGCAGTCTGAAGGCATGAGAATTTCTGGACTGTACCTAACAGATTTATGCAGTTGAACATGCTAATGTCCTTTGACCTGATTAGAAATAAATACAGCTGACCAAATTGTCATTTTTATGGATATTTACAGCCAAGTACTTTGTAAACTTCAGAACTAATTTTCCCCAAAGGAAATCTGTACTCTATGACCTTGATAAACTGTCGAAAATGCAAACCATGACTAGACCTGCTGTTTCTCTTGCCAACATTTCCCATTTCCAGAAACGTATGAAGATTCAGTGTGCCAAATGGATGGGGTAGCATTCTCCCAGAGATGGAACTGGTGCACAACTTGGGGGTCTTTCTAGATTCTCGGTTCCTGCTCAAAGGGGAGGGGACAACTGTGGCCAGGAGGGCCTTTGCACAGATCCTTCTCATGCACCAGGTGCACCCCTTCTTGACTGGAGGGCCCTGTTCACAGACACTCATACTTGGGTTGCCTCCCAATTGGATTACTGCAACACACTCCACATGGGGCTGCCTTTGAACACCACTCAAAAGCTACAACTGGCCCAGAATGCAATGAAGAGAGTGGTTATGGGTGCATCATGATACTTTACAAGCTGCACTAGCTGCCAGTGGATGCAGTGCAATCCTAGGTGCTGGTTATCACCCATAAAGCCATTCATGGCACAGACTGGGTTGATTGTGGGGCCACTTTTTCCTGGTTGTTTCCACTCATCCTACAAATTCTGACCAAGAGGGCAGGTTCCAGGTCCCTTCTATTTAACAATGTCATCTAATGGGCCCAGAAAATCTGCCTTCTCTATCATGGTGCATACTATATAGAACAGCATATCCTGAATACCTTTTTAAAGGTGTTAAAGATCTGGTTCTTCTCATGTGGTTCACCAGGGTGCTGGGTGAACCTTTTCTAGGGAACGTGACTGTGAGGGTTCGCAGGTGACCCCAAGCACATTGCATTGGTTTCTAAAATTTATTTTGTGGTTGTTTTTAGCTGGGTTAGCTGCTAAAGCTGGATGGCAAGTCAGCAGACATACAAACTGAATTTAATGAAATATATAATTAACATCCATACAGCTCAGCCTTAAGAAAAATAGCATATATTCCAGCATGCCACTGGATTCTGCAAGTATAAAGGATAAAATGCATCCTACAGGTCTTTTTTCCTACTCATCATCCCAAACATGACTTTTTTGTCTCTTAGTGGTCTAACCTTCATGGTCAAAATGACAATACTGCTAAAAATATCACAGAATCAAACAGTAGGAAATGATCTCAGAGCTCATCTAGTCCAACTCCCGTTCAGCGCAGGATTCACTAGAGCAGTGTTTCCAAACTGAGGCAACTTTGTGATGTATGGACTCCAATCCCCTGAATTCCCCAGCCAATATGGCCATTGCTAAGAATCTAGATAGTTACTTTCCAGCATCTGTTTGAAGACCTCTAGTGAAGGTCCTTAGGTGGCAGCCAGTTCCACTGGCTGACTGCTTGAACAGTCAGGAAGTTCCTCCTGATGTCCAGCTGGAACTCCTTTCTTCTAATTTTAAGTCCTTGATTCTGGTCTTGCCCTCTAGGGTAAAACAGAGTGTATCATCTCTTCTTCTGTGTGATACCTCTCAGATATTGAACACAGCTATCATATCTCCCCTCAGTCATCTCTTCTACAGTTTAATTACATTCCGATCCTTTAATTTTGGTTTCCAGACCTTTAACCATCTTGACAACCTTCTTCTGAACGTGCTCCAATTTGTCCCTTTTGAATTGTGATGCCCAGAGCTGCACATAGTACTCCAAATGGGGTCTGATTAAAGCAAAGTGAAGTGGAACACTTCCTGTGATCTTGAGTCTACACTCCTCTTATAAAGCAGCCCAAGACAGCATTTGCTGTGTTATATGAAGACATAAGCCTGAAAGGGGCAAGGAATCCCACAGTGAAGAACTCCATATCTCAAAGCTACCTTTGTTTAAGGTCTCACAATAAAACGAGAAAGATTTTTTATATATGATAATAGCAGTGAGACTTTTATATGCACAACGGTGGAAAGATTTGACATTATCTACAATGGAAGAATGGATGGTGAAGTTGATGGAGCTGGTTGAGATGGCGAAATTGAAAGCTTTGATTAGAGAAAAGACACTGATTAATTTTAATGCTGATTGGAAACCCCTTTTGGACTTTTTGTGTGAATCAGAAAAAAATGAAATCATGATATATGGATCTGATGATTAGAAATAATAATAGGCAATAGAAAAAGTGAAAGTTACATTGTAAACTTAGAGTAAGACCTTAAAGCAAATTTATTTTTATATCTGTTGTAAAAGAAAGTCAGAAGTAGTTTTTCTTTTGAATTTTTTGTTTCTGCACTTTTGATTTTGTTTTCTTTTTCATTCTTTACTTTTTTCTCTCCTCTACTTTCCATCTTAATTATTATTTCTTGTTAGTTTTTATCCTTTTATCTTAAAAATCTAATAAAGTTATTTAAAAAAAACAATAAAATGAAAAACATGTTAAGGACAAAGATCCAGCCTTTACTTATTAAAAACATGAACTGCCATTTCTGTAACTCTTGGTGGTCATCCCACAGATTCATCTCTAGCTACAAGTAAGTTCTGCTCTTCTAGATTTCAGATGATTCAATAGAACAAAGAGGTTTAGGTAGAATTGTGCAGTTCTGCAGTTCTGACTCTCTTCTAGCCACCAGTGAAATAATGGTAGTGCTGTCTGTATGAACAAAGCGTAACTTTCATCTGACCAATATTAAAAATACAGGGACTATGAATCTTAAATGTGATGACAGATAGATAGATAGATAGATAGATAGATA